CCAGGCCATCTGGGGATACAGGGAGACCCTGTCTCAAAAAGACAAAATACAAGAATGCTTGAGGGGAATCAGTGGTAAGCATTTGCGTAGAATCCTGCAGTGAGGGTCTGGGGGTGTAGCTCAGCAGTAGACAGTCCTGCCTAGAATTCTCCCAGTGAGGGACTTGGATGTTTTACTCAGTGGTGCAGGGCTTTACCTAGCATGTGTGACACCCTGTGTTTAATTTTCAGCATTGTAAAAATAAATAAGTAAATACTAACAACAGATGGAAAGATACATAAGTAGAATAATCCGTCGTTATCAATGGGGGATACTATGGTTCCAAGGCCCTTGTGGGTACCAGGAATTCATATAGTACTGAGTCCTGCATGTCTGACAGCCAAGATGGCTCCTGAGTACCTAAAAGGGAGGAGGGGAGGTAGCATATACAGTGAAGATGTGGGCAAAGCTAAATTTAAGGCCAGGTAAGGCAGAGTAACAGAATGAGAGCTTTCATTCTACTCAGAGCACTGAGCTGTTCAAAATTCATGAATTTTCTTGAAAATTTCTGTTTAATATTTTTCAGGCTGTTTATCAATAAATAACCCTTGGATAATAGGGATTGCTGTGTTTGTTGTTGTGTGTATATATTCACTTCTGTGTGCCCATGTGGAGGCCAGAGACCAATGGCATGGGTCTTCCTCAGTCATTCCCCGCCTTTTCTTTCTCTTTGTGACAAGATCTCACTACGTAGCCCTTGCTGGCCTGGAATTCACTGTGTAGACTAGGCTGGCCTCAAACTCAACAGAGATCTGCTTGTCTCTGCCTTCCAAGTAGTGCTGGGATTAAAGGTGTGTGCCACCATGCCTTGCTCCAGCTTATTTGAGACCAGGTCTCAACGGATTGGCTAGACTAGCTGGGCAGCTTTCTGTCTCCACCTGCTCGGTGCTTGAGATTACAGACCTGTTGCTGTTGCCCCCGGCTTCTTTTATGAGGTGGATTCTGAAGATCAGAACTCAGGTCCTTATGCTTGTACAGCAAGCACTTTAGTCACTGAGGATGTCTCCAGTCAAGACTGCTATATAAGAAAGTAGTCACAGTGGTGGTTCTGGAGGGGAAATGTGTGCCCCTGCCTTAGACTCAAGAAGTTAATCACTCTCCCTCCTACATGCTAAGCAAGTGCTGTACTTGGAGCCACAGCCTCAGCCCCAAAAATAGTTCTGAAAGTCTTAAGTCCCTGCAACCCATCTGACCTTTTCCGTGCCCCCCTCAACAGAGACCCTGGCAGTGTGTGGACCAACTGTTTAGTTGTGCATCCATCCATCCCTTTCCCAGCAAGACCAACATCTGCTCCAGTTCTGAGCTTTTTGTTCTTTTTTACTTTCCTCTTAAAAATACTTTATTGTTATTATTTTTAATGTGTGTGAGTGTGTTGCCTGCATGTATGTAAGTGTACCCTTGTCATGCAGTGCTTGGAGAGGATAGAAGAGGACTTTGGATCCCCTGGAACTGGAGTTATGGATGGTTGTTAGCTGCCATGTGGGTGCTGGGAACTGAACGTAGGTCCTCTACAAGAGCATCCAGTGCTCTTAACTACTGAGCCATCTACAGCCCCTATTTCCTTTTTATTTATTTCTATTTTATGTGTAAGAGTGTATTGCTTGCATGTGTGTAAGTGCATCCAGGTCATGCAATGCCCGTGGAGGTCAGAAGAGGGCATTGGATCCCCTGGAACTGGAGTTACTGACAGTTGTTAGCTGCCATATGGGTGCTGGAAACTGAACCCAGGTCCTCTGCAAGAGCATCTAGTGCTCTTAACTGCTGAGCCATCTCTCCAGCCCCCCCCCCCCTTTTCCTTTTTAAAAAATACCTTTGTAGGGGCTGAAAATCTGGCTCAGTGGTTAAAAGCACTCAATGCTCTTGCAGAGATCCCAGCACTCAGTGTCAGCTAACCACCCCTAACTCTAGTTCTAGGAGATCCAATGTCTTTTTTTTTTTGGTCTTTTTGAGACAGTCTTCCTGTAGCCCCAGCTGTCCTGGAACTCACTATGTAGACCAAGCTGGCCTTGAACTCACAGAGATCTGCCTGCCTCTGCCTCCTGAGTGCTGGGACTAAAGGCATGTGCCACCACACCCAGGCTTAAACCCAATGTCCTTTTAATAAATAAAAATTTTTAATTTCCTTTTTTTTTTTTTTTCTTTTTTGGTCTGAGGCAAGGTCAGCTTTGTAGCTCTGGCTGGTTTGGAATTCAGAGCTTCTGCCTTGGAGTGCTGAGATCAAACGTGTGCACTACCACACCCAGATCTGTTTTTCTTAACCCAAGTTTTTCAGGGATCTTTCTGGTTGAAACTTAGAGTATCCAGTTTTTTTTAAAGATCTACTTTACTTTTAATTGTGTGTGTATGGGTGTGTGTGTGTGTGTGTGTGTGTGTGTGTGTGTGTGCTCTTGAGTGCAGTACCAGCAGAGATCAGAAGAGGCTCCAGGTGGTTGGGAACCAGCTGACGTGGGTGCTGGGAACTGAACTTGGGTCCTCTTCCAGAGCAGCAAGTACTCCTAACCTCAGCCATGTCTCCAGTCCTCACAGTCATACTAGACTTTAGTATACATCTGTGGAGGATGGGTTCCCAGTAGCTCATGGATACCAAAACCTGCAGATGCTCAAATCCCTTCAATAAAATGACGCATTATTAGCAGAGAACCTACTTTAAGTCATCTCTAAAAGACATAGAAGACCCAGTGTAATGTATTGCTTAGGGAATAGGCTGTGCATATTCATTACTGCCGTAGCCGTCATCGTCCTCAGTCCAGGATTGGTTGAATCCTTGGATGGGGCATCTGTGGATACAGTAGGCGCTGTGCAAGGTATTGTGGGATTCTGTTTGGGGAGTTTTGGAAACAGCTGGTGAGCCACTGTGGTTAGAGCGAATGAGATAATGGAAAAAGGGTGGGGAGGCAAGGGTGGGAAGATGTGGTTTCCTGGTGTGCCTCAGAAAGGTTGCATCTGGAGGGAGATGGAGGCCTTGGGGTTTTGAGCGGTGGGCACTCTGACCTGACTCAGGTGCTTACGCGCCGTCTGGTGGCTATGTGGGGAATAGACCTCGAGGAGCGAGAGTAAAACTGGAAGACTGAGGAGAGTGCTCCGGTTCAAACGGGAGATGGGCACTGCGTCCAGGATGGGGTAGTGAGAAGCGGGAGTGGGAAGTGCGAGAATTTCGGATAGACTGCTCGGACCAGATGCTGTGGATGAAACTGGGGCCAGAGGTGGGAGGAAAGGGTCAAAGGTGCTGCACTGTTTGGCAGGATGGAGCTGCCATTGGTTGGGCCTAGAGGATGCAGCAGAAGGATAGGTTGAGGAGAGAGCTTAGATGGCTTGGGGCTGACAATGAGTGGGCCGCACGGAAGCAGGTGACGAGCGCGGCGTCCGCGCAGTCTCGGAAACTGCCGCCAGAGGGCGAGCGCACCGCGGGAAGGACGTGACTCACAGCTTCTCACGGTCCCTCAGCCTCCGCACTTCTCTCACCTGGGTGCGAGATGCACGTCGGTGGTGGTGGTGGTGGGGTTGGGCGAGACCCCCCCAGACGCCTTGAGGGCCCCAAAGCCTGAGACGTAGTTCTTTTGTGTACTACCCACCGCGCTGTTCCCAGGGCCTCCAACACTGTCTCAGGTCTCTGCAAGTGTCACATTCCTGGGAGGCCTTCCCTGACCACCCTAGGGATAGAAGCCATGCCAGTCTCAAAGGCACATTTCAATTTTTATTTTATTATTGTTGTTTGTTTTGAGACAGGTTCTCATTATGTAGAACGCTTTCCTTCGTCTTTTATTTTCTTTTTGGTCTTATTGAGACAGGGCCTCCCCAGCTGGTCTGGAACTCACCAGGTAGACCAGTCCGGCCTGACCTTGAACTCACAGAGATCCGCCTGCCTCTTCCTCCCTCTGCTGGTATTGAGGCCTGCCATCACCAAGCCCAGACTGGCCTTGAACTCTTGATACTCCTTCCTTTCTTCACCTCCCCTCTGCTGGGAATATAGGCCTAGGGATAGTGCACAAACCTGTAATTCCTGCACCGGGAAGACTGAGGTGGAAGAATTGCAAGATCAAGGCTGGCCTCTGTAACATAAGGAGATCCTAATTCCCTGTCTCAACTCTCCTACCTCCAATAAGAAAAGACATTAGTAAAGCCAGTTGTGGTGGTGCACACCTTTAGTCCCAGCACTTAGTCCCAGCACTCGGGAGGCAGAGGCAGGTGGATCTCTGTGAGTCAAGGCCAACCTGGTCTACATAGTGAGTTCCAGGCCAGCTGGGGTTACAGGGAGACCCTGTCTCAAAAAGACAACAACAACAAAAAAAGACATTAGTAGCAGTTATGCTAATCATTGTTGGCTTGGGGTGTGGCTCAGTGCTAGAGCTCCTGCTTCTCATTCATAAGCATTCTGTCCTCAACAGAGCAAAAACCAGGAGTTGGTGAGGCCACAGTGCAGCAGCTTCTGCTTTAAGGTCCTCTTGAGTTCTCAGTACAACCTGTGAGGCAGAGACTGTTAGCAACAGAATTGATGTTAGATATCACAGAAGAGGAAGCTGCAGCCCAGAGTGATTAAGAGCTTTGCTTGAGGTGGCACAGCCAAGAAAATGCAGCACTGAGCTTGAAACCCCAGTTCCCAAGCAAAGTATGACATTGCCCAATAGATGAATGGGTATCCAGGACTGGAAAGGCAGCTTCCTAGGGGTCTAGTCACTGTGCCCCTCAGTCACTGTCTTTTGATCTGTCTTGTGTGATTCCCATGGTCCCACATAGTAGGCCGGCCCCCCTGTGACCCCCAACAGGCTGGGAGGAGCTGGGGGATTGGTCTGCTTTCCTTGCCTTCCCTGCTGAGAGCTCCCAGAGCCACCCCTCAGGCTGCCAAGCAGGGGCCAGTGGTTAAAAGCAGGTCCCTCAGGGGCCAGACTCCACACTCTAGACAGCAGGGCCCATTGTCCAGGCCCCTGAGCCCACTTTCAGACAGACAGCCGCATAGCCAAATGATGTTCCATGGTCAGCTAACCACACTGCTAGGCCTGCTCAGTGGGGCCTGGCTGCCCACAGGCTTAGGGAGATCTGGGGATCCTGTTCCCCCTGCTCAGTCTTGGGCTGCCACCAGTCAGAGCTGGACCCCAGACTCTCTGGTACCTTCTTCTGCCCTAGGCAGCTGGAAGGCCTTCTTGAGCTTACAAAGCAGGCAGCAGGAGACAGGTGGACTGAAGGGAGGGCAGGACGTGACTGCTGGTATCTCTTTGCCCTTGGACCCTCAGGAAGCGACCCGGGAGACCTGTAGGGCTGTGCCCTTCATTCAGGTGAGTGTGTGTACATGGGGAGGGAGGATCTTCACCATCACATGAGCATGGGTTGTGGCTCCAGACAGGTTTGCATTCAAGTCCTGAATCCTCCACCTAAATGCATATGAGCCTTGATTTCCTTCCTTGCAAATGGGGCAGAACTCTTTCTCTCTAGGGCTGGCATGGTTACCTTCATATTTACCTCCCTGTTTTTGTTTTTGTTTTGAGACAGGGTCTCATGTAACCCATGCTGACCTCAAACTCACTATAGTGGAGAACAACCTTGAAGTTCTGATCCTCTTGCCTCTACCTTCTAAGTTCTGGGATGGCAGGCATGTTCTACCACATCTGGTTTAAGCAGTAGGGTGGAACCCAGGGCTACACGCATGTTAGGCAACTTTTCTCCTAGATGAACTCCATCCTCAGCTCCCCAATCCCGTTTCTCCATCTAGCAGCTAGAGAAAGCCTGTGGATACCTACATGTTCATCCCTGGCTCCCAAAATTCTTATGACTTACACCTTACTCTAAACAAAGCTTATGTCCTCAAAATAGCCCCAAGTTTCTTCATTCTTGCTGGTTTTGGCTCTCCTACTCCTCTCACACCTGCCACATTAACCTTCTTGCTTTGTGTGTGTTGGGGGTATATGTGTTGTGTGTGTGCATCCACAAGTGAGCAGGTGCTGTGCACTTGTAGGGGTGCATATGCAGAAGTCAGAGGAGAACTTCTGATGTCTTTATCACTCTCCACCTTACTATTTTTTATTTTTGAAACAAGGTTCTCTTCACTATGTAGACTAGACTGGCCGTTATCTCACAGAGATCTGCCTGCCTCTGCCTCTGCCTCTGGACGTGTGGCAACACAACTGGTTCCACCTTATTGAGACAGGGTCTCTCACTGAACCCGAAGCTCACTGATTGGCTAGACTGGCCAGTCAGTGAACTTCACTGGCCAGCAAACTTCAGGGACCCCTGTCTTTACCTCCCCAGTGCTGTGCTTACAGGCTCATGTTGCATGCCCATCTTTTTTGTTTGTTTTGAGACAGGGTCTCCCTGTAGCCCCAGCTGTCCTGCAACTGGCTATGTAGACCAGGCTGGCTTTGAACTCACAGAGATTTGCCTGTCTCTGCCTCCCCAGTGCTGGGATTAAAGGCATGTACCACTATACCTGGCTGCATGCCTATCTTTTATGTAGGTGCTGGGGATCAGAACTCAGGTCATCACACTTCTGTGAAGCAGTTTACTGACTAAGCCATCTCCCCAGTCCCTTTCTGCTCTTGATAGATACAGGAGCACTCCACCTTCCCCAGGGCCTGTGCAATGAATGGTAGGCTGTTTGTTTCAAGCACTCTTTCCCCAGTCAGACACTATGGTCCCTATTCTCACTTCCTTCAGATTTATTTAAAATGTTCTATATTGGGGATGGGGACATAGCTCAGTAGAGTGTTTGCCTGTTATGCCCATAGCCCTGTGTTCCATCCCCATCAACACACAAACTAGGCATGGTGGTACATACCTATAATCCCAGGAACTGGAGGGTATAGGCAGGAGGATTAAAAGCCCAGGATCATCCATCCTCAGCTACATAGTTTAAGATCAGCCTGGACCACATGAGACACCATTTCCCTGTCTCAAAAAATAAAATGTCATTTACCTTAAAATGTGTCACCTAGTTGGGCATGGTGGCACAAGTCTTTAATCCCAGTACCTGGGAGGCAGAGGCAGGTTGGACCTGCCTGGTCTACATAGTGAAGCCAGCCTGGTCTACATAGTGAGTTCCAGGCCAGCTATTGCTACAGGGAGATCCTGTCTCAGAAAAAGGAGAGAGAGAGAGAGAGAGAGAGAGAGAGAGAGAGAGAGAGAGAGAGGAGAGAGAGAGAGAAGGAAAGAAAGAAAGGGAAAAAAAGAGGCTGGCCTCAGCCTCCTCAGTCCTCAGACTCCTGAGTGCTGGAATTGTAGGCATGTGTGACCATGCCCTGCTATGAAATTGGTTTTATAATTCTGTTTACTGTCTGTCTCCCTCACTGCCCACAGAGATTGTGTGTGTGTGTGTGTGTGTGTGTGTGTGTGTGTGTGCGTGTGTGTGTGTTTAGGCAGGATTTTGCTATATAGCCCAGACTTGTGTTGGACTCACTATTGTAGCTCAGGCTGTTCTGGAACTCACAGTGATGCCCTGCATTAGCCTCTTGAGTATTTGAATTGTAGGTGTGAGTCATCATATCTAACTTGGGGCAGAGGTTTTTGATTGTTTGAGACAGGAACTCATGTAGTTACTTTTCTGTTGCTATGATAGAAACACTGACCAAAGCAACTTATAGAAGGAAGAGTTTATTTGAGCTTACAGTTCCAAGGGGGAAGAGTCCATTCTGGCAGGGAGGCATGGTGGCAGAGATGGCTGGAGGAGGAGTGGAAGCTAAGCTCTCACATCTTCAAGGGAGCACAGGAAAACAAGAGAGTAACTCAAGATCTGGCAAGGCTTTAAGAACTCTCTAAGCCCACCCCCAGTGATGTGTTTCCACACCTTCTAAGACCTCCCAAAACAGTGCCACCAACTGGGGACAAAATGTCCAAATACTTGGAGCCTATGGGAGACATTCTCATTCAAACCACCACACCTACACTGGCCTTAAACTTCTGATCCTCCTGTCTCCACTTCCTGAGTGTTGGGGATTACAGGTGTGCACACACCAGCCCACCAGCACAGTTTATGTGCTGTTGGGACTAGAACCCAGGACCTCAAATACCAGGCAAGTACTTTATCAACTGAGCTACACTTCCATTCCAGGGAAGAGGTTTTTTAGCTGGCTTTATTTCCTAGAATATCCCTATCCCCAGGCCCTACAGCAAAGCCAGGCATACAGCAGGCACCCAGTATCATTGAATGGATGAATGTGTAGGAGTACATGCCTCCCATGTGTTGGCTATGGGGAAGCCTGCATGAGAAGGGTCCAAGACAGATCTCATATTCATATGTGCATTCACGAGACCGGGTCTCCTTGTAGTTCCAGCTGGCCTGGAACTCACTATGTAGACCAGGCTGGCCTTGAACTCATAGAGATCCACTGGGACTAAAGGTATGTGCCACCATGCCTGGCAGGAATTCTTATACTATATTGAGTTCAAATCTTGCCTTCATGAGCCTGGAGAGATGGATTAGTGGTTAAGAGCACTAGCTGCTCTTGCAGAAGACCTGGGTTTGGTTCCCAGCACCTACATGGCAGTTTATAACTGCCCATAACACCAGTTCCAGTGGATCCAAGCACTCTTCTGGCCTCTGTGGGCATTGCACACATGGTGCACTTATGTACATGCAGGCAAAACACTCATACACATAAAAATTTAATTAAAAGAATTTTAAATCCTGCCTTCATTGCTGATTTCTACATGATCCCGAGTTAGTAGCATGTCTTCTCTGAACTTGTTCTCACTGCTATAGAGCACAGTCAACAACTATCAAGGTTCCTGCAGGGTGCTTGTAGCCATGCTCAGCAGGGTGCCAGTTCCCAACACTCTTGGCTTTATATTTTCTTATTAAACCTTGAAATTCAAGAGGTTGCCACTGATCTGTTTTGTTCCCCAAATCTCCCCCTCTTTTTAAAACTGTGTATGTGTGATTGCATGCATGTATGTGTGTGCACCACATGACTGGTGCCTGCCGAAGCTAGAAGACGGCATTGGATTCCCTGGAACTGGAGTTACTGATGTTTATGAGCTGCCAACCAGGTGCTGGGATCTGAACCTGGTTCCACTGTAAGGACCCTGGGGATCAGGTTCTCACGATTGCACAAGCATTTTGCTGACTGAGTCCTCTCCCCAGCCCTGAATTTGGATGATTTAACAGCTGAGATATCTCTTCAGCTGTTTTGGTTTGTTTTTTTTTTTTTTGAAACAGGGTCTCTGGTTTCCCTGTAGCCCCAAGCTGGGTTGTCTCAAAGAGATCCACCTGCTTCTACCTCCTAAGTGCTGAGATTAAAGATCTGCCCCATGCTTCTCTCTCTCTCTCCTCTCCCTCTCTCCCTCTCTCTCCTCTCCCTCTCTTTCTCCTCTCCCCCTCCCTCTCTCCTCTCCCTCTCTCTCCCTCTCTCCTCTCCCTCTCTTTCTCCTCTCCCCCTCTCTCTCTCCTCTCCTCTCTCTCTCTTCCTCTCCTCTCTCTTCATCTCTCTCCTCTCTCCCTCTCCCTCTCTCTCCCTCCCTCTCTCCTCTCTCCCTCTCCTCTCTCCCTCTCTCCCTCTCTCCTTCTCTTCCTCCCCCCGTCTCCTCCCTACCCTTCTCATTATGTGATGCCATCCTCTTTGAAGCCTTCACATAAAGCCATTGCTAGCACCATGTTCTTAGACCTCCAGTACTTGAACTAAACAACCTTCCACATGTTGTCCTCCGACCACCACAAGAGTGGCATGCTCTCTCTCTCTCTCTCTCTCTCTCTCTCTCTCTCTCCCCTCCCTCTCTCCTCTCTCCTCTCTCCTCTCTCTCCTCTCTGACAAGGTCTCACTAAGAAGCTCAGGCTGGCCTGGAACTTGTGACCCCCCTGCTTCTGAATCCTGAAATTACATAAAAGTTACCACATCCACTCCATTCTGCTTCTGTTGCTATCTGCCACGTGGTTGCCCTGTCCTAGTATAGCTGCACAGAGCAGAAGGGACCCTGGCAGGGAATCTAGCTCTTCCCAGAGCTGCCTGCCCTAGAGGGCACAAGACCCTCTGTAGGCTGGTAGCCTCCTTGTAGTTGTGAGGTTTTAGGCAAAGCTCTTCTTCAAGCCTCAGTTTCCTCATCTGGAAATAGGGATGGCACTAGTACTGGCCTCAGCATCACAAGGAGGACAGAGAACTGTCCTGGAGTTGGAGTTTGGCTTAGGCCAGCATGAAGGGGATTTGTGTATTTTCCTTCTTTTCTGGTGCTTCAGGTGGAACCCAGGGCCTTGTGCATGTGTGGTGGCACACTTGCAATCCTAGAATGTGGAAAGCTGAGGCAAGAGGATCAGGAGTTCAAGGCCAGTCTCTGCTATACAGTTAATATAGGGCCATCCTGGGCAATATGAGACCGTATCTCAAAAACAAACTGAACAAAAATACAGAGGTTTCAAATGGTTTCTTTTTTTTTTTAGTTTTTAAATTAATATTTTATTTATTGTGTGTGTGTGTGTGTGTGTGTATGTGTGTTGGCATGGGTGTGTCATGGCACAAGTGTTGGTCAAAGGACAACCTGTGGGAGTTGGTTCTCCCCTTTCACTGTGTAGGTCCTGGGGACTGAACTCAGGTTATCAAACTTGGCAGTAAGCACCTCTACCCACTGAGCCATCTCACAAGCCCTTGTTTTGTTTATTTTTACAAATATTTATTTTTATGCCAGGCGTGGTGGCACACGCCTTTAATCCCAGCACTCGGGAGGCAGAGGCAGGCGGATCTCTGTGAGTTCGAGGCCAGCCTGGTCTCCATAGCGAATCCAGGCCAGCTGGGGCTACAGGGAAACTCTGTCTCAAAAAGACCAAAAAACATTTTATTTTATAAGTGTTTTGCTTGGATATATATGTACCTGATGTGTGCAGTGCCAATGGAGGCCAGAAGAGTGTGACAGAGCTGCCATGTGGGTGTTGGGAACCAAATTGGAGTCCTCTGGAAGAACAACAAGTGCTCTAAACTACTGAGCCATCTCTCCAGCCCCTTATTTTTAATTAAAGATGCATTTTTATCTGTAGTGTATATGTCTGTGTATGTGCATGAAGGGTGCTCATGGAAGCCAGAAGAGGGTATCAAATCCCCTGGAGCTGGAGTTACAGGCAGCTGTGAGCTGCCATGTGGGTGCTGGGAGCTGAACCCAGGTCCTCTGCAAGAGCAGCAAGTGCTCTTAACCACTGAACCATCTTTCCAGCCCCTTATTTTATTTAATTATTTATTTACTTTTATTTTATATGTATGAGTGTTTTGCCTACATGTATAGACGTGCATCCGTATCATGCAATACCCACAGAGACCAGAAGAGAGCTAAGAGCTTCAGAATCCCTGGAACTAGAATTATAGGCATTTGTTAGCCATGCGGGTGCCAGAAATTGATCTTAGGCCCTCTGCAAGAAGTGCTCTTAATGGCTGAGCCATCTCTCAAGCCCCTAATTATTAATTAATTAATTTATTTATTTATTTATTTTTGGTCTTTTTGAGACAGGGTCTCCCTGTAGCCCCAGCTGTCTTGGATTCACCATGGATTCACCATGAAGACCAGGCTGGCCTCGAACTCACAGAGATCCACCTGCCTCCATCTCCCGAGTGCTGGGATTAAAAGCGTGTGCCACCACGCCCGGCCTATTTATTTATTTTTAAGATAATATCTCAGGAGCTGGAGGGATGGCTCAACAGGTGCCATTGAACAAGTGCTTGTACTTGCCACAAAGCCTGACAATTTGAGTTTGATCCTTGAGACCCTCATGGTAGAAGGAAAGAATTTCTACAAGTTGTTCTCTGATTTCTGCAGGCATTGCATGACACAGGTGCACTTAATTTTTTTATTATTATTATGTGTATGTGTGTATTGCCTACATGTAGGTAAGTGCACCCATGTTGTGCAATGCCCAAGGAGGACAGAAGAGGCTGTTGGATCCCCTGGAGCTGGATTTATGGACAGTTGTTAGCTGCCATATGGATGCTTGGATTCGAACCCAGGTCTTCTGCAAGAATAGCCAGTATTCTTAAACGCTGAGCCATCTCTCCAGCCCCACAGGTGCACTTCTATACATGTAGGCAGGGAACACTCATACACATAAAATACAGACACACACACACACACACACACACACACAATTAAAATAAAAGGATAGAGTCTTATGATTTTCCAGCGTGGCCATGGTGGCTAATGCTACCACTAACCCCTCGTAGCTCCTACCTCTAGAGCTTGTGGACAAGTGTATAGGATCACGAATTCACATTATGATGAAGTGATAAAAAATTGTCGGCACACTTCTAGGATTTGATGGCTTTGTCAGTATGGTGCTGGAAGGTGTCACAGAGTTTGAATCACACCAGAAGGAAGAAGGATCACTAAATTAGATCAGATCTTGCTAAATGGAAATAATATAACAGTGCTGGTTCCTGGGGGAGAAGGGCCTGAAGTATGAACGGATTTCCTGGATTCTGTTTCTTTTACCTTTAATGTTTAGATTCAGTAGCACTGTTTCCCGTTAAAGGGAAATACTTTGAAGATGTACACCCATTTTTCTAAACTAATCATGGTTACTTGAAAAAAGTTTGTGTTTTTTTAAAACTAAAAAATAAAATGTTTTTGGTTAAAAAAACAAGGTAGGTCTCAAACTCATGGCAGTCTTGCTTCAGCCTCCCAAGTGCTGGAGTTAGAGGTGTGAGACCCATACCAAGCTTGATTTTTTTTGGTTTCTTTTTCTGTGATGGTGGGGGTGGAACATGAGTATTGTGCATGCTAGGCAAGTGCTCTCCCACTGAGCTACAGCCCCAACCTTGTTTTTACTTTATTTTAAAAATATTTTATTATTTTAAAATTTCATGCATATGAGTGTACTGCTTGCATGTATGAAAGTGCATCCATATTACGCAATGCTGGAGGCAGTCAGAAGAAGGTATCAGATTCCCCTGGAACTGGAGTTACAGATGATTGTTAGCTACCACTACCATACGGGTGCTGGGAATCGAACATGTGTCCTCTGCAAGAGCAGCCAGTGGTCTTAACTGCTGAGCCATCTCTCCAGCCCCTTTACTTTTTATTTTGACACAGGGTCTTAGTGAGTTTCCCAGGCTGGCTTTGATCTTGAGATCCTCCTGTCTCAGTCTTCTGAGTGGCTGTGATTTACAGGTCTGCACCACCAGGCCCAACCTTAGTTTAGTCTGATTGGGGTGGGGGTGTACATGTGCATGGTGGTGCATGTGTATATAAAGGCCAGAAGCTGATGTCCAGTGTCTTCCTCAGTCACCCTCTGTCCTATTTTGACAAGGTCTTTCACTGAATCTGGCACTCAGCTAGGCTAGCAAGCCTCAGGGATCCTCCTGTCTTCACCTCCCCCTGCTGAGATTACAGGCAGTGCACTTTTCACATTGGTGCTGGGGATTGCACCACAAATATTTACTAGGTCCTCTCCTCAGCCCCAAATTTGGATGAGTGTATTAAAGAGGCTCAACTTGAGTAACTTGCTGTAGGCCCCACAGCCAGGAGATGGCAGAGTCAGAATTGAAACTAAGGTCGCTTGCCTTCAGCATCCACACCTCTCCTGCTGAAGTGGAAGTGGAGGGTTATTCTCACTCTCCAGCCCTAAACTATACTGCGCTGACTGTCCCCCTGCGTGTGCTCCCAGGTGCTCTCCAGGCCTGGCTGCACAGGTGCTCGTGTCCGTAATCACCTCTGCTTTGGTCACTGTACCTCCTTCTACATTCCCGGCTTGGCTCCTACTCCGCTAGTTCTCTGCAACAGCTGTGTGCCTGCTTTCAAACGCTGGACGCCGGTGGTGTTCTGGTGTGGAACTGGTCGCCCAGCCTCTCCTCGGCGGGTGAGGACGTCCACCATGCTGGTCCAGAGGTGCCAGTGCCACCGCAAGCTGTGAGTTGAGCATCGTGGAGGACATGAACCTTAGGAAGATGCAGAAGACGGAAGAGAAAGACGCGACTTGGATGATGTACATCAGGTCAAGAGACCAGGGATGCAAATGCAGATGGACAGGTCCACAAGGTCACTTTGCTCCCAGTGACACAAGACACCATCCCAGTAATGGGGTTGGACTACTAATAGCCAAAGCATGTGGGGCTAGGGTGTGACAGCAGGAGAACGCTTGCTTAGCATGCATGAAGCGCTGGGTTCCATCCCTGGCGGGGTGGAGGTGGCTGTGGGAGGGGTAAGAAAAAGAAAAAATTCGCTGCAGTGTGTGATTTGCAGGGCTCTGTGTAGAGCGCTCAGTAGGTACAAACTCACTTCCTCACGAATCAGTCCTCAGCAGCGGCACGAGGTAGAATTTCACATCACACCTTTTACGGATGAGGAAACTGACGCCGCGAAGACACAGTCACTTCCTCCGGATCACATAGCAGTCGGTGGCACGGCCAGAGAGATCAGATCTTACTGCCTTTCGTTTCAGGACGAGGGAATGGAACCCAGGGCATAGCGTGCAACACAGCCCTCCGGCCGAGCCCCGCCCCTAGCCTGAGATTCCGCTTTCTGCCACTAGGCGGCAATGTGTCTCGCTGCCAAAACCAGAAACTGTCCCAGCTGCTTGGGAAGACAGCACTACCTACCCCGACACTCAGCGCTGACCCGGTTATAGGGACAAGCGCGTGCGCGCGCACACAGGCACACAGAAGCAGCTGCCGGGAAAACAGGGCGGGCCCCACGAATCCGCAGCTGCTTTTCCCATCGACAATGGCTGGGGTTTCCCTATTGCCCCCACATAAGCCCCCGCCTGGCATTCCCGGGAACCATAAAGCTTGGCCAAGTCCAGCTGTGCGTGTGTGTCCCTATGACCAGGCTTCTCTAAGTGGGGGCTCTGTCCCCAGCTGAGGGGCAGGGTGGGCGGTGGCGAGAGCGGCCTGGCTCTGGGCGGCTGGAACCAGGGCGCTGGCAGATGGGCCCGTCTGGCAGAGACTCAAGGACATGTGGCGCTGTCAGCGTCGCCTCCAAATGCCCCCCGGAGCGCGGGGTGGAGGGAGCGGGCCAGGGCCCCCGTAGGCCCTCTTCCTGCCTCAGGAAGGAAGGCTCCAGGTGAGGGGAGCAGGAACGCCCCCCACAAGGAAACAGATGGGCCCATGGGGTGTGGGAGCAGCGACCCCTGACCTCACAGGCCTGAACGGAGGAGTGGGAACCTGTCTGGTCGCCAGCTCCCAAGAACTTCCTGGAGGGGAAGGTCATGGGGCCCTGGGTGGAGGGGGGCGCCCTCCCTCCTATTTCCAGAGCTTGATGACAAACCTCGTGCAGTGTCCAAGCTGGCAGCTTAGCCCTGGCACCCCCTTTCTGGTGGGCACGAGATGCCTGCATCTCCCCACCTCAGCTGTGCTCACCTCCTGCCAGCCAGGGGAGCCAGCTGGGAACCTTGGTGCGGGGGGGCGGACGCCAGAGTCCCGGCCCCCTTCGGGGCAGTGCCAGCCAGTCCCCATCTCAGCCCTCAGGCCTAGTAATGGGTGCGTAATAAGTGCTGGGGGAGCGGGGGAGGGGCGGGGGAGGCAGGTGCCACAGGCTCTGGCACAGGGGGCCGCTAATCAGGTTTGCCAACGCCATCTGTCACCGCGCGAGCATCTGGGGCTCAAGGTGACCCTGTCACCCTCAGTTACAATTATGAGTTTGGCATCTGTATTAAAGCCTGCCAGCCGGCCAGGCAGGGGAGGGCTGGGGTGGGTAAGAGGGTGCATGGCGAGCTCCATCCCTGGGGTTTGGTTCCCAGGGGCCCTGTGGTTGCCAAAGCATGAGGCTTCTCTGCACTGGGGGAGCATGTGTGTACATGCGCACACATGTGTTATGTGTGCACATATGAGAATGCAAACACTCATTACAGCTTCCTTAATAATTCTTCCCTAGTGTGTCTGGGCATAGAACTGGGAATCACAGGGTTTGTCTCTGGGTGGTGACGGTATGTATGCCTGAGGGTTTGGTGGGATAGTGGGGCAGGACGGGGAATGGCTGCCACACTGTATGGGTGCCCAGGTAAGCATGTGTCTGCCTGCATGCTGGGAGAGGAATGGTGGAGGCTTTATTTGCTTTTGGATGGTACATGTTAGAGCATGAGTGCTTGTGTATGTGTTCCCCTGAGTGTGTGATTGTGGGTGTATGAAGGTGTATGGTGCTTGTAGCTCTTCCAGTCACAGGCTGTCTGTGTAAGAGGGGATGCATCCACAATGTGTGTGTGTGTGTGTGTGTGTGTGTGTATGTGTGTGCACGTGAAGGAGCTGTAGCTGGCAGAAGCCATGTGCATTCACCCCAGATTCTAGCCTGCCCTTTCAGTCTGCTCCTGCTCTCACCAGCTTTGTTGTCCAGCTTTGATCCAGAGCTTTCTGACAAAGGTCCAGGGCTTTGGATCTTGCAGGCTGGCTTTTGGTTTCTCTGTTCTCAGAGCTGGATTTTCAGCCCAAGATTCAAGTTCTGAACAATGGGATCTAGACTTTTTGTTTTATATTTTATTGCTATATTACTGTATGAGTGTTTTGCCTGTGTGTATGTATGTACGGGCACTGTGTGTGCATTGCCCCTAGAAGCCAGGAGAGGGTGTTGGATCCCTGGAACTGGAGTTACAGATGATTGTGGGCACTGAACTTGGATCCTCTGCAAGAGCAGCCAGTGTTCTTAATCACTGAACCATCTCTCCAAAACCTTTGTTTTTGAGACAGGGTCTCACTATGTACTCCTGGCTTGCCTCAAAGTCACTATGTAGACCAGGATGGCCTCTAACTCAGAGATATTCACTTAACTCTCTGATTCCTAAGTGCTGGCATTAAAGGTGTGTACCATCATGCCTGGTGAGACAGAGACTTTTGGATTCTGGGTTCTGGAATATGAATCTGGGTTTTAGATTTGGGGTCCTACATTCTTGGCACCAGATTTATGAATCTCAGTATCATTGGAATCTAGTGCTTTTTATTGTTTTCTTTCCGGTGCTGGAAATGGAACCCAGGACATTGCACATACTAGATACTGCTGAACCACACCCCAGCACCTTACTGGAAGATTCTACACAGGTGCTCTACTGCTGAGCCATACCCCTGACCATGGAACCTAGACTGTGACTATGAATTCTGGGACATGGATTACACAGGCTCTGAGTTCTAGGTCTGGGGTCTCACTTCTGGGTTCTAGGCTGTGCTCAGCCTAGGCCTACCCTCTCTACCTGGGGTTCTGCAGTTAGTCATTATGTCCCTACGGAGCAGTGCAGAGACCACATGTGACCACCAGGGGCCACCCTTTGTCTAGATTTAGGCTGTACTGCCCTAGCTGTGGTGGAGCTGAGACAACCTTTTGAGGGAGACTGGGAAGAACACCCCCTTCCACCCCAATCTCTTCTGTGGACTGATGCCTGTCCATTCTTACCACTCCCACAGTCCCCTCAAGGACTGGGACACTGGGACAGGGACGTTCACATACACAATGGGTCAGTTGCAATAGGGAAGGAGTGTGTGTCTAGAAAGGTAAAGAACATCTGAAAAGGAGACTGGAGTGACCACCTGCAACAGCATTCCTGTGCCATGAGCCTGTGGAAATGTGTGATTGTATCTGATATCTCATGTATTCATAGGGCTGTGTCTGCGAGGTGCCACTCTGGTATGGGGTAGGAGTCTCTGTCAGGCATGTCTATGATTGTGCCATGTGGTTGCTGTGGATGTACTCATAGTTGTATAACCCCAAGGGTAGTGTATCACCGTCTTTTGTTAAAAGTGTAAGTCCCTGGGGAAGGTGTTCTGGAGTGTCAGGAGCAGTGTCCGAAAATGCTGGGTCTCTGTATGGATGATACTTAATGAGCAGAACAAAGTGAATATTCTGAATGTGCCAACCTGAGCCAGTGGAGACTGGCAGTTGGGTCCAGAGATTTGGAGCTGGGTTGAATCTCCAGGCCTCTATTGGGTCATTTCCTATATCCATATGCACCCGTTCCTGCATCTGTCAACTCACGACTAGGTGTCCACCAGCTTCTCTGTTCCTGACTTCCTCTGTCTCGGGGCCCCCATCCCCACCTCATCCCATTGCTGGTGGGACTCAGTGAAGTCCATGGATCTTGGGGAGGTCCTGCCTGTTTCCCCTTCCAGCTCTTCCTCTTCTGTTTCCTTCCCTGGCTCTGCCTCTCCTTGGTCTACTCTGTCTATCCTCTCTCCTTTCTGTTTCTTTCCTTCCTACAAGTCCCTCCCACCTCTCCATCTCATCCCCTTGGAGTCTCCATATTTCTTTCTCCATCCCCACCTCTGTCTTTTTGCTTCCACCCACCCCCGTTTTGTGTATATGTGTTTGTGCTTTTGTGTGCATGTGTGCGTGCATGCACGCGTGCCAGAGGTTGACATTAGGTGTCTTCCTGAATTGCATCTCCAACTTATTTCTTTTTTATTAAAATTGGAACACACCAATTAGGCTAAATTAGCTGGTCAGAAAGTCCCAGGGGTCCACCAGTCTCACCAGGATTGTTTGCTCCTGTGCCTGGCTTTTTACATGGGGGCTGGGGATTCAAACTCAGATTGTCACGCTTGCACATCAAGCTTTTTGCTCACTGAGCCATCTCCCCAGTCCCCACCCCTTTTTAAGAGACAGAGTCTTGGGGCTGGAGTGATGGCTCAGCAGTTAAGAACACTGGTTGTTCTTTCAGAAGACCTGGGTTCGAATCTCAGCACCCACATGGCAGCTAACAACTGTCCGTAACTCCAGTTGCAGGGGATCTGATAGCCTCTTCTGTCCTCCGCGGGCATTGCACGACACGGGTGCACTTACCTACACGCAGGCAATACACTCATACACATTTTTTAAAAAGTCTCACTGTGTAGCAGACACTGGTCTCAAATTCACCATCCTCCTGCCTCAGCTTCCTAAAAGCTGAGATTACAGGTATAGGTCACCAAGCCGGGTCTGTCTCTTCTTCCTTCCAAAAGACTTAATTTCTACCAGT